GGACTGGCAGGATAGAACCTGAGTACTCACCCATGTCAGGCAGCTCACAGCCGCCTGAACTCCAGATGCAGGGCATCTGACACCCTCTTCTGGTCCCCTGTGGACACCTGACTTTGACACAAATACATACACATATATATGCACATAAATAAAAATTTAAAAAGCCGGTAGAATGATATCCTGATTTTAAGATGTGTGAATGTTCATGGATATATTTGGATGGGGATATAAATATGTGTGTATAATGTATATATAATGCTATATATATGTATAATGTTATATATATAATGTGTGTATATAGACATTTTAAGGTGACTTACTTTTTTTTTTTTTTTTATACAAGGTCTCACTGTGTAGCCCTGGCTGACCTGGAACTATGTAGACCAAGCTGTCCTTTAACTCTCAGAGATCCACTTGTTTCTGTTTCCTGAATACTGGGATCAATGTTGTGCTCCATCTGGATAGGGATTTAATTTTTAAAAACTGGGCGTACAGTTTCTTATTTTCATCATATTTAAAATAATTACAACCAGAACCTGGAAACAACCCAGATGTCCATCAAAAGAGGAATGGATACAGAAATTGTGGTATTTTTACACAATGGAATACTACTGAGCAATCAAAAACGAGGAAATCATGAAATTTGCAGGCAAATGGTGGGATCTGGAAAAGATCATTTTGAGTGAGGTATCCCAGAAGGAGAAAGACACACATGGTATATACTCACTTATTTAGACCTATAAAATATGATAAATATACTGAAATCTATACACCTAAAGAAGATAAACAAGAAAGAAGACCCAGGGTAAGATGATCAATCCTCACTTAGAAAGACAAATGGGATGGGCATTGGACGTAGGAGAAAACAAGTAACAGGACAGGAGCCTACCACAGAGGGCCTCTGAAAGACTCTACCTAGCAGTGTATCAAAGCATATACTAAGACTCATAACCAAACCTTCGGCAGAGTGCAGGGAATCATAAGAAAGAACGGGGAGTTAGTATGATGTGGAGAGGACAGGAGCTCCACAAAGACCATATATGTGGGCACAGGGTCTTTTCTGAGATACCTGATAAAACAGGGTCAGATGGAAGGGGAGGAGGTCCCCCCTATCAGTGGACTTGGAAAGGGGCAGGGAGGAGATGAGGAAGGGAGGTTGGGATTGGGAGGGAATAAGGGAGCGGGATATAGCTGGGATACAGAGTTAATAAAATGTAATTAATAATAAAAATAAAAAATAAAAAAACTGGGCATACAGTTTCTTATTTTCATCATATTTAAAATAATTACCATCGGGCTAGAGAGATGACTCAGCAGTTAAGAGCACTGACTGCTCTTCTAGAAGACCAAGATTCAGTTCCCAGCACTGATGTGGCAGCTCACAACTGTCTGTAATTCCAAGTTCTGACACTCTCACACAGACATACATGCAGACAAAACACTAATGCACATCAAATATAAGTAAATAAATAATAAATAAAATTATGATCATTTTCTACCTATGATTTTTAAGTATCTGAAATATAATGTATGTGTTTTCTGTGTTTCAAATGTTAAATTTTTTATTTCTATTTATCTTCATCATCATCATCATCATCATTATTACTAATTATTGGGTTTTTTTTGAGACAGGGTTTTCCTGTGTAGCCCTGGCTGTCCTGGAACTCACTCTGTAGAGCAGGCCAGCTTCGATCGAGAGGTCCACCTGCCTCTGCCTCCCGAGTGCTGGGGTTAAACATGTGTGCACCACCACCACCTCAGCTCAATATAGTGTTTCAATTTAAAATACAATTGGTTTTTAAAATATTATAAACAGAATTAAGCAAATTGAAAAAGACATCAAATACAAAGTATATCATTGATAAAAATGTTAATAGAAAAAAAGATTTTTGAGACAGAGTTTCTCTTTATAGTTTTGGCTGTAGTTTTCACTGTGTAGACCAAGCTGGCCATAAACTTACAGAGATCTGCCTGCCTTTGCTTGCTGAGTGCTGAGATGGTGTGTACCACCATGTCCCAGCTAAGAAAATGGTTTTACATTAAAATTCCTCCATAAAATTTATTTTTATGGTTATAATATAATTCTAACTTAACTATAAACCCTAAGGTCAAGATTTTGTTACATCCAGATAAAACCAAGTCTCAATTCTCTATTTACAACAAGTTTTTTGTTTTTGTTTTTGAGACAAGGTTTGTCTGTGTAGCGTTGGCTGTCCTGAACCAGGCTGGCCTCAAAGTCACAGCAACCTGCCTGCCTCTGCCTCCCTGGGTGTTGGGATTAAACGTAAGATTTTTTTTTACAAGATTTTTTAAGTATTAATTTCTGAGTAATGTTTACAAAATCTTAGTAGTGTATACAAAAACTGGCTTGCGAAAACAAAGATTTTGTTTTATTCTTTTACTAGAGGAGATACTTAAGGCCTGAAATTAGGTTTCTCCAAGTAATGTTTCTGTTTTTTCATGCATAAGAAATAAAATCTGGATTTCGCACAGATTCTTGGACTGGTGGCCCATGGCCACTTTGTTCAACCTGAGCTGCATCTCCTCAGCAGCAGGTGCTGCGGATCTGTCCCCTGTACTGTGGAGTGACACAAATAGGCCCTCCAGCAGTTTTACTTTTCTGACAAAGATGTCATCAAAGATGTGATAAAACTTCATGGCCAAGGCAACCTTTAAAAGGGAAGGTTTATCTCAGGCTTGTGGTCCTCATTCATCACCATGTGACAAGGAAGTATGACAGGAGGCAGGCAGGGCAGCTGGAGCAGCTGAAGGCTGAGGGCTCACATCTTCCATCACAAACAGGGAGCCAAGAGAGAAAACTGGGGGTGGAAGGGGTCCTTGAAGCCCCAGAGCCTGCCCAAGTACTGATGTATTTCATAAAGCAAGGGCATACCTTTAAAGCTCACCCAAACAGGGCTGCCAGCTGAGGACCAGGGAGTCAAATGTCTAAGAATATGGGGGACATCTCATTCAAACCCCTATACATCCTCTATACATCAAGAAGAAGATAGATTGGCAAACCTTTTCCCTTCATCTAACGAACTTCAACAATAAGCGTAGAGAATAAAAATGTTACAGGTTCAAAGCCAAAATTATCTTGGGCTCTCTTAGTATTTTTAATATGTAGCCTACTATCTTCCTCTGTATATAAATTAACATTCTTAGGACCCAAACTCAGGAGGCATTCAATGGGCGTAAAGTTAGTAGACTCTTAACAACTCTCTTAAAGGCTGTCTGTACTCTCCGATGCCCTTCTCACAACCACCTCTAAAAGGAAAGACTCAAAACCTGGGTTGCCTGCTCGGTCAGGAGCTCTTCCTTCTGCCCGCCCATCTATACCTGCATTTCTCCCTCCCCCACAGTCCCGTCTCTCTCAGCAACCTTACTATGTAGCAAGGTTCCGAGGGCCTTTAGGGGTTTGCCCTCTCAATTTCATTCTGATGCCCTTTCCACTTTGCCCAGCTTGTTGTCTAGTTCTGGGCTCACGCCCTTAGCACGACTTTTCCTTCCCATCACTCTGGCAAATCCCAGAGTTCTCCTAATCCTATGCTCACTGTTCACCGTGTTAATCTCTGAGTTCACCCATTTCTCGAACTGCATAAACCGAAGCTCACAAGTATATTTACCTGCTCTCTCTCCTCAACTCTGCCTCCATTTCACACTTGGCGCTTCCCTGCGACCTTCCAAGACAAGTAAATGTTTTCGTTTTTATACTAGATAGACTGCCATGTCTTCCCTTTTCACTGCACAGGGTTATTGCGGAAGCTTACTGCAGTGGTTTTCATGAGAATGCCCCCCCCCCCAGGCTCAGATGTGTGGCTACTTGGTCCCCAGGTGCTGACACTGTTTGGATAGCTTTAAGAGATGTGGCCTGGCTTCCCTGTCATTGAGGGAAGGCTTTGAGGTTCAAAACACCCTATCCCATGTGTCCTCTCTGTTTGGTGTTTATGGTTCAAGATGCGAGCCCTCAGGTTCCTGCTCCTGCCACTCTGCCATTGCTTCATCATGATAGAATTTATCCCTCTGGAACAGTGAGCCCAAATAAACTTTCTTCTATAAGTTACCTTGGTCATGGTATTTTTTCACAGCAACAGAAAATTAATTTACCAGCCTAAAAAACTATGCCAGACCCTAAACTTTCAATAATACAGAAATCACAGGCTCAATAGATGCAACTATTGAACACTGCCTTTAAAAAAGTATTTATCTTTATTTTATTTGTATGGGTGTTTTGCCTGCACATAGTGTCTGCATGCATGAATGCTTAGGCACCGTGTGTGTGCAGTGCCCATGAAGGCCAGAAGAGGCTTTTGGATCCCCAGCAACTAAAGTGACAGATGGCTGTGAACTGATGTGTGGTGCTGGGAATTGAACACAGGTCCTCTGCAATAATAAGTGCTCTTAACCGCTGAGCCATTGCTCCAGCACTGAACACTGCCGAGGCCTGGAGAATCCACCCTGACAGGACCACTTTAGGACTCGTCAGGACAGACTAACATAAGCAAAAGGCCGTCTTATCAGTACCAACAGAGCTAGTCTCCCTCCCTCCCTCCAAACACGGAGATGGGAACGCTTCACCTCACTGACGTCATTTTGTAATGTGTGTTCATATGTGTTTTCATGTAATTGCTTGTATGTCATTCTGTTTTGGGACAGCATGGAACAGAATGCAGTGTGCCCTTAAAATCCCCAAAACAACAGAGTAAAAAAACCTGACAGCTTAGTTTTTCTCTTTCATTAATTTTTTTCTGCATGCTGAAATTATTTTTTGATGTATTGATATACCTTAAAACTGTGTGCTCACATGTGTGTGAATGAAAACGTTTTAAAAGGCCTTAAAGTATATACTTATAACCCAAGGTACTTGTTTACCTTCTTCAATTTATCAAATGGGTCTATTATTTACCTTCGGGTTTATTAAATGTCTCATAAAGTCTTAAAATATTATTTGTTTATATAAAACAAGGTCACTAAGGCCATAAGATAAAAGTTTCATTAGGTGCCCCCTGGCAATGGGCAAAGAGACACCTTGTTGGTGGTGGTGTTCTTCTATCAGTCAGGGGCAGAGCAGACGGCAGTTCTCTGTCTATCCTAGCTTGATGCCTGACTTGGTAGCCAAAGCTGTTTTTTGCCTAGGACTCATAAAAATCAAATCAAATCCAGGCAGCACACTTTGGGAGGAGAAGACAGACAGAGACCTGTGGACTGCCATGCCCCCC